CGTGCCACAAAAAGTGGATACTTGGGCGTAATTCTAACTGTACGAATTGTATGTTATGGTAACTGTATGCTATTTTACCTGTTTGTTATACAAACTGTATGTTATACGATCCGTATGTTTTACGAACTGTATGTTATATTAATTTTATGCTATACTTACTAACTGTATGTTATACTAACTGTATGTTATACTAAATGTATGTTATACTAACTGTATGTTATAATAATTGTATGTTATACGAACTATATGGTATACAAACTGTTGGTTACCTTCCTTAACTGTACGTTGAACAAACTGTATGTTACAATAACTGCATGTATTATGATGTACTAACTGTATGTTATACTTATTGTATGCCATACGAATTGTATGTAATGATAACTGTATGTTATACTACCTGTATATTATACGAACTGTTTGTAATACGAACTGTTTGTTACATGTATACTAACTGTTTGTTATACTAACTGTATGTTATACTAGCTGTATGCTATGATATCCGTATGTTGTACAAATTGTATGTTATACTTATTGTATGTTATACAAACTGTATGTTAAACTAACTGTATGCTATACGAACTGTATGTTATAAAAACTGTATGTTAGACTAACTGTATGTTATACTAACTGTATGTTACCCTAACTATATGTTACCCTAACTGTATGTGATAATAATTATATATTATAAGAACTGTATGTTATACGAACTGTATGTTATGCGAACTGTATGTTTTACTAACTGTATGTTATACTAATTGTATGTTATGCTAACTACATGTTATGCTAACTGTATGCTATACTTACTGTTTGTTAAAATAATTGTATATTATACGAACTGTATGTTGTACGAACTGTATGTTATACTAATTGTTTGATGTACGAACTGCATGTTATGATAACTGTATGCTATACTAACTGTATGCTATACTTACTGTATGTTAAAATAATTGTATGTTATATTAACTGTATGTTCTACGTATTGTATGTTATACAAAATGTATGTTAACTTAACTGTATGTCATAATAATGGTATATTATACGAACTGTATGTTATACTAAATGTATATGATACAAACTGTATGTTATATTCATTGTATGTTATACTTATTGTATGTTATACGAATTGTATGTTATGATAACTGTATGCTGTACTAACTGTATGTTATACGAACAGTATGATATACGAACTGTATGTTATACTAATTGTATGCTATGCGAATTGTATGCTTTACGAATTGTATGCTATACGAATTGTATGCTATACGAATTGTATGCAATACTAACAGTATGCTATAAAAATTGTTTGTTATACGAACTGTATGTTATACTAACTGTATGTTAATTCAACTGTATGTTTTACGAACTGTATGTTATACTAACTGTATGTCACCCGTTTAATACCATTGAACGGGTATGGCATCTTGATCCAAGAGAGGGCTCTACGGTTTATTTAAAATGACTACACGTCATCAGTTTTAGAAATATTGAAAAGAAACAAGCTTGATTTTTTACATGTTGCTCGTTTTAAAACGATGGCCATAGAAACTTTCAAGATTATAAATGGCACTTCATCATCATTTTTACATGATCTTATTGAACAAAGAAATGTTTTATATAATTTTAGAAGATAGAACACTCTGAAGATTCCAAGGGTGAATACCACAATGTATGGCAAGATATCGTTTAGTTTTGTATACCTGTTTGTCGCAAGAATGGCACTACAGTACTAATGGTATTTTGTTTGTAATATGCGACGGTAAATAAAATTTCTTAAATCTTCTTGAATCTTGAATCTTGATATTTTACTTGTGTGGCAGAAAACGTGGATGATTGTGCATCACCCTGCTTATTATAATACTTGTGTCTGTGTCTAAGATAAAGTTAAGTATGTTTGCTAGTAATAAGGTGGGGATATTAAGTATATAAAGTGAATTCGAGACTGCTTTGTATCATTTCATCTACTGTTAAAAAGCAGCAATATAAACAGGTTTTATTCCAGATATTTTGAACAGTTTGGAGAACTTTGTTGTTGAATCGTTCGTGAAGGACTTTATATCACTTCAATATATGAGGTACGTTGGATTTTTTGTCTTGTGCAGTTTGCACCAACACAAAGTGATATTCACCTCAGGAATTTATCTTTTGTGATATTATTTCTACTTTATATGTGATATGCTATATAATGTATAAATTTGAGTCTCTCTTCCATTTTGGTATTCTGTGATATTTGGTTGTTAAATTACCTAATATGTGTATACCTATGTTTGTCGCAAGAATGGCACTACAGTACTAATGGTATTTTGTTTGTAATATGCGACGGTAAATAAAATTTCTTGAATCTTCTTGAATCTTGATATTTTACTTGTGTGGCAGAATATACCAAACTCGAGAAAAATATTGATATTCTGCCATACTCATGAAACATATGGCATTCAACGAACAACCATTCAATATCCTCTTTACGTTGCATGGTGTCTTTTATATAATTATTGTGCAGTTCGAATTCATGTTTGTATACATATCCTTGAATAAAACGTCATGTTTAACCCAACTTTTATAAGACTATTAATACTATTGCATATGTCAGTGCTGTATACAGTACCAACCATCAACGGTCTTAATTCAGTATCATAATCCAATTAATCCAAAGTGGTTTGTTTCAAAAATAAAACTTAACTTGTCTGATCAGTACAAACAAAACTGGGCAGAAATATGCAGAGACTCTTTAAAATCCACCATATACAGAGTTGTTAAGAAAGAAGTTGTGTTTGAAAACTACTTAAATATTCTCTCAAAAAAATATGCTTATACTCTTTGTAGGTTTAGAACCAGAAATAGTAACTTACCTGTAGAAGCCGGTAATATACCAATACACGAACGTATTTGTCAATTGTGTAATGTAAGAGATATCGGAGATGAATCTCATTATATATTTGAATGTCCGGCATTAGATAATGAAAGGAAAATTGTTCTATCCTCTATGTTAATTAGACGTCATAGTGTATTATCGCTGAAGGTTACAATGTCATCTAAAAGAAATTCCTAAAAACATTATGTACTTTTATCAAAAAGATTAATCCTGTCCGTTCCCCTGCATGGAAGTATTTATTATATGTAACTGCTGTACATCTCCGTTTTCATTAAACTGTATCCCTCTATATAATTCAAAGGTGTTGAGATGAATTAAAAAGATTGAAAAGTGTGAGATACTACATCAACAGGTTGATTGGTTGGTTTACGGGTTTTTCGCCAACATGATTCCATCCATGCAGGTTTCATCTCAATGACGGAAGTCGGTGTTCTGTCGGCGTACATCAAAGGGCCATTGGAAGGCCTTTATACAGTGCGATTTGTGTATGATGTACATTACATTTCTATACACCGTTAAAATCTTTAAAAGCGCTTCACATTACAAGCGTGACCATTGATCTGAAGTTAATGAATTATTTATAAATATATTAGGAACTCCGTTGACACCATGAATACTCCTGCACAATTCCTCTATCTTCGTGTCGGTGAAGGATGCGATCACGTTTACATGTGATTTCAGAGACATAAAAACAGATGTTAAAAAGTTGGGTTCTAACGAGAGATCAGTTGGCATAGGTTATAGTATGACATTATTTTGGGCACATAACACGGATGCTGTCTCAGTGCTTCAGTGTGCCCGATGGCTTATAAAGGGTGATGGGCTCCTGTAATACGTAGGAGCTATGTACATTAAAACTTTGTACAGGGAAATATTTCGTACAGGTAACCAATACAATGAATATGTATTACTAGTGCTATGTAAAGTAGTATTAACTGGTATGAACGCAAATCAGTCACATACATATTTAAAATGAAGATCTAACCGATTTGTGATCATACCAGCATGAAATTGAAAAAGTGCTGTTCAATCCTTACATGTTAGTACAAATATTAAATTTGGTACTTTGAATATGACTTATCAGATGTGTGAACTTTTGGATTGGTGTGCCATCAATTAGGGTAGCGTGTTAACCTATGTGTTCGACTTGACTAGACCGGTATCAACAAATATATATGCTAATGCTAATGCAGTATAGGAGTGTAAAGAAGTTTCTGTCTATACCAACGCGGATGATACTGATGTGAGAGCATCACCCTGCTTATTATAATACTTGTGTCTGTGTCTAAGATAAAGTTAAGTATGTTTGATAGTAATAAAGTGGGGATATTAAGTATATAAAGTGAATTCGAGACTGATTTGAATCGTTCGTGAAGGACTTTATATCACTTCATTATATGAGGTACGTTGGATTTTTTGTCTTCAGTATTTCAGAATTAGTTTTGAATGAAAAGGCAACGGAAAGAAAAATTACAATGGAAAAGAAGCACATACACAGGTACAATGAGCCTTAAAAAGAAACCAAATAAGTAACACATTACGTTTCACATGGACTGTAGATATATCAGTCGAGGTTCTCATAACCACCTTTATCACAACCTAGTTCGAAGGTCGTCTCAAAGCGGGTAACAATTTATTAGACGAGGTTATAAGACCTATGCAACCAGCTCATGTATTTCTCAACTCCTTGGGGAGCATACAGCCGTTGATGCCATTTCGGCGCTCACAACTAGCAACAATTTTAGCACTGCCTAACCACGTACACTTTTACAGCTGAGTAGACTGGAACACGTGACGTGACTCGAACCCGCAACCTTTCGGTCAGGAGCCCGTCGTCCTAGCACTACAGTGCCTCCTATCAAAGTTTTTCGTGTGAAATTTTCGAAAGGAAATGATGACAAAATATTGCATTTCTTATCATCATGCGCACAGTCAATGTCGTTTGTGTATGTCCTTTGTGATGGCATAGTCAAAGTCTGCATACTATTTAACCGTAATGTTTGATTTACTCTTTCTTGAATATAGCACAGAGTTGTTACAATCTTGATAAATAGTTCATACCATTAACTTAACTTATCCGGGAGAACACGGTAATGATAATTGTAATTATTGTAATACTCAGTGACTATTGACAAATTAGTAGTATACATACAGATGTATCATGTTATTTTCAGTGACATTCCGAAATGCAAACTGAACCGCAAGACAGTAAGTATACTGTAGTGGTATGTAATGTTCAACCCTTCGATTTGATGTATGCGTTGTATTTCCTAATACGCATAACGTATCCACGGATAATAGTATAATAATATATTTGAGATATATTAAATTTATCGTTGCGGACATATGTTTGCGCAGTCATTGGCTCTTTTGTGTGTCCGTTTACATAAGTATGCTAAATGGTCCAAGCCCTTTCGAAAATACAAATAATATGCGGATTATTTCACACACAAAATTTCACGAAATATATATCATTAAGCTAATGTTCACAAACTGAAAATTCATATCAAAATAAGTCATTATAATCAGTTTGTTTGCTGAGTAAATCGGATATTTCTCAATATGTAAGGTATCTTTTTGCATTTACGATAAGAAAAGGATTGACTAAAATGAACAAAAGATAATCCATAGTAGCGTAGAAATTAATCACATGAAATTATTGACTGTTCAAAATTCTAGACATGTCATGCTTTCTGCAAATTTTATACAACAGCTCAATGATTGTGACGTGGTAGAAAATGATATTTTCGAAAATCGTTTTAAAAACTAAGCAGTATTGATTATATTGATAAAATGTTCGACATATTCCTCACTTTCAGCTTATAAGGCATTCAATAAGGCATGCAAAACAATTTCACATTCCATTTTAATATATGAAGTTTCAGTTCGTGAACATTAGCTTAATAATATATATTTCGTGAAATTTTGTGTGTAAAATAATCCGCATATTATTTGAATTTTCGAAAGGGATTGAAGCATTTAGCATACTTATGTAAACGGACACCCGAAGGAGCTAATGACTGCGCAACATATGTCCGCAACGATAAAATGTAATACATATGTATATCTCAAATATATTATTATACTATAACATGTAACAGTGGATACATTATGCGTATTAGGAGATACAACGCATACATCAAATCGAAGGGTTGAACATTACATACCACTACATTATACTTACTGTCTTGAGGTTCAGTCTGCGTTTTGGAATGTCACTGAAAATAACATGATATGTATACATTGTACGACTAATTTGTCAAAAGTCACTGAGTATTACAATAATTACAATTATCATTACCGTGTTCTCCCGGATAAGTTAAGTTAATGGTATGAACTATTGTACCAATATTGTAACAACTCTGTGCAATATTAAAGAAGAGTATATCAAACATTTTGGTTAAAATATATGCAGACTTTGATTATGCCATTATTTCTATCAAAAAGACTTTAAAACAACTATTAGCCTCCTATTTGTGACCTTCAGATCAAGCACACGGTGTGTAACATGACCAAGAAAAGTTATCCTGCTGCCAGTCGAGTCTAGTGCTACCTTCAGTATTGAACTTGTGAATGTCAATAAATCATTAGTTAACATATTCAAAACAGTATACATATATATTTATAATACAAACACTTTTTAAACAGCATCGTTTTACTCACCTCATAGAAGGAACTCCATCTTGCTTCCAGTGTACACGATGAACAGTTAAAAATACTGTCTAATCCGTGTGATTTCTGTTTAAACCCTTAGAATGTGACCCTACTTCCGTCTCTCCCTCCTCCCCCAATGTTTTTTTTTTGTGAAAGTAAAATGAGTAAACTGCCACACATGAATTGACAAAGTGTGATGACAGTTTACACTTTTTACAAAATGGTTAAAATGCCCACTTATAATTTGACAAACTGTCAAACAAAACACTTTTGACTAATATGAGTGTTCTTTCGGCCGCTATCGGCCATCGTAGAACGATTTTTGCATTTTACACATTTCTATATACTGTGCATAAAAGAATTTATTTTGTACGAAACTTGATATCTACCCATTCAAACTACCTGGAATTCTAGGTCAGCTCCACGACGTGTGCAAATGACTCAGTCTAGCTGCGTTAACGTAGCTCTGGATGACGGACGGTCGATTTCTGATAAATGGTCGTTGGAGCGGAGAGTAGGCAGGGTACATATGAATATTCGTTCTAGACC